AGTGTTCTTAGGCATATATTATGGAGTCTGGAAGCAGGCACATCATCAGTCAGTATGGCTTTTTTTTCTCATTCCAATCTGTGCTTTCCAGATTTATATTGGAGCTCCCAATAGTAGCCCGAAAGCATTAATAGCAGCGCAAAGCAGAAACAATCCTGATTAAAGGTCGTGCAATCATCAAGCATGGTTTCTTCTAGCGTTAGTTACAAAGCATAGGTGGCAACGTTATGCCACAAACATATCAGGAAGGCATTTCAAGTAAACAAAGTCGAGTTGTAAGCCTCGATGGATGAGAAGCATTGGGAATGAAGCAACACAATGCCAGCTTCAATTTCTCATAATTATAATTGATTTTCTAGAAAAATAGGTTTTACTGTCAATTTTAGATAAACCTGTTTTAAGTCGGTATTCTGTTATCGTTGATTTACATGTTACTGTGTTTGGATCGCAATTACTCTAGGGTCCGTTTGGATCCTTGAATTGAATTCATTCTAATAATTATAATTTAGGCATAGATTAATTAAGCTAATATAGTTGTATATGAAATATATTTGTATATTTATTGTTAGGCGTGCAAGGGACATACTTATATGTTGTATTTTTATTATAGGGAGTAAGTTGAAGAGTGTTTTATAAGTTAGAGAATAGAATTATAGCATAGTGATTTATAGAATCTATTTTTAACTCACATCCTATGAATTTGAGATAGGCTTATTTGTGAGCTTAAAAAAATTATGGAATATCAAATTCTAAGCCAAATAGGCTAATCCATTACGTAGATTTCAATTTCTTAAAATAAAGGGATCCAAATGGCTCCTCTGAGGTTTTCTTTTGGAATCAAATAACAAAGACACATATTTGATCGCCATGCAAACTGATCATTCCCGTCAAAGCTAGTTGGTACAGGAACCAACAGAGATGTGAGATTTGTGGCTGGACACACGAACTGGCTTGGCCATGCGCCGGCAACCAATTCGAGAATATCTACAGATACGGGCATACAGCAGAGCTAGCCACACAGTACAAATGCACACCAGGCCGACACAACTCGGGCGCGCATTCTCTCTTGTTGGCATGTCACTTTCCAAGGTTTTTAGAAGCATTCAGAAACCAAAGCACGCATGACGTGCGCATCTCGCCGGAATGCTCGTCTTTCCTGCTAATCTCCTCTGTCGGATCCTTCTACTCTGTCACGGGATGTGTGCTAGTGGTGCGCTCACGGACGCCGCACTGCACACATCACACTGCTGTCCAGCAAAGCCACGAACACGATTTTTTTTTTTTTTTGAATTCGAACACGACAATTTGGCCATTTGGGCGGGTTGGTTTTAGTTAATGGACAACAGGCGATATCACTTCAAGTGACTTAACATATAACATATTCGTTGTCTTGTGGATAAGTAATCTTTTTCAAATGTTTAATTTGTTATTACTAGTTGCTGAACAAGGGATAACATCATGAAGTTTGGAGTTTGTGTCATCAAGCCCTTGGAATTTGTAATATATTTCCCTAGTCCAAACTTTTTAGACCAATCTCAATGCAAGTTTAATGAATATTAAATAAGTCGATGTGACATAGTATATATGAGAGACACGAAAAAGTTTTATGGAATGAAATAAGTTTCACGAGGATAAAACTTGTTTACACTGACATCTAAGAGTCTTCAAAACAAGAACATGAAACTCCCACTGAGATCGGCCTCTTACAATGTTGTCGCTGAATTAGAGTTAGAGCAAGTATAATATGAGGCTGTTAGCAGGCTGGATGCTGAGGTGGAGGGAAAAAGGAGGAGAAGTTTGCAGCCAGCTAAAGCACAGGAACCAAGAAGGTCTACGAGAGGGAGGGATAGGCTACAAGAGTCTGTTTGGGACAGCTCCACAATTGAAAAAGTGAATCTGGATCTAAGATTCACCATGGAGCAACTCCACTAGTAGATCTGAGATCCACCTGGGAACTGTTTGGGTAACACAGTAGATCCAGATTTACGCAAGGGCATTTTAACTAGAATGGACAGATTTGCCCTTGGACAGGTCCCACTTGTCAATGTCCAGGGAAAATGTTTTTCCTGGTTTCTTCATCCTCCAGTCGGCTTAGTGGTCGTGGGGCGGACGGTGGCCAGCCAAGGGAGGGGCGCCCGACACGGCTACAGCAAAGGGAGTGGCGGGCTGCGGTGGCCGGTGGAGCATCGCGCAGTGGCCGGAGGTCGGGCGAGGCCTCGCCTCCCCGGCGGGCGCGCAGGGCCGGGGAGGGACATGCGGTGGTCGGAGGAGGGCGCGGCCTCGCCTCGCCGGGCAGGCGCGTAGGGCCAAGGTGGGGCACACGGTGGGCGCAGCCTCGCCTCGTCGGCGGGCGCGCAGGGCCGGGGAGGGCGCGCGGTGGCCGGAGGAGGACGCGGCCTCGCCTCGCCGGGCGAGCGCGTAGGGCCAGGGTGGGGCGCGCGGTGCAGCGACGGGAAAAGTGGAGAAGACGTGAAAAAATTATAACGAACCGGTAAGTTTGTGTAATCAGTGGCAGTGGTGGTTAATTTTCTCCAACTCCACCAATTTGAGTTTGATGGAGCACCCCTTGAGAAGATCCATCAAATTGGTGTATCTGGCCCTCAGATCCACCTTTTGGTGAATCCAGATTTGGTGAAACTGAAGTGTTTAGATAACTTTTGGGGGGAGTGGAGTTATTTTTATGGATCTGGAGCTGGTGAAGCTGTCCCAAACCGACCCTAAGTAAACCAAGTACTATATGACTTGCCTAACAAGCGAGTTGTAAGGATCCATATAGTCAGCTGAATGTTGTATTATTAACTTTGCTCTTAGACAAACTTACCAGATACAAGTACCCATCCTAGACGTTCAAAATCAGACGCTTAGACCTAAGATTGTTGCTTGAGAGCAGAGTTGCCTGGTACGCTTGAAGCTAAATAGCCCCTTAGCTCCTGCTTGCATCACCTAGCTCGTTGAACTTGTGCCTCCTAAACTTGACATATGGTCCATAGTGGTAAGTTTTAAGCTTATGTGAAATAATCGTACAAGTTTAAAAGCTACCAGTGTAATTTTATCAACACATAAGCGATCTACAATTAGATTATACTGCATCCATTCTAAAATGTAAGGTATTTTAGTTTTGTCACGAGACAAACTTATCTAATTTGAACAAACTTCACATGACATGTACACCATCAAATTAGATTAATTAAATCCACTACGAAATACGTTTTGATGGTGCATTTATTTGATATTACAGATGTTACGTATATCTTTCTAAAAAATTGATCAAATTTCGAGAAAATTAAGATACCTTGTACTATAAAATAAAGTGATTGTTGTTTGTTTGAGAAAAGAAAAGATTCCACTGTAATCGAATAGATAAGGTTTGAACTAGGGAAAATTGGTTGTGTAGCATCAAAGATCACGATCTCCGTAAAATACTACCGAAAGTTTGGCGCTCTGTAAAATATCATTGAAAATTTGAACCGTGAACTGAGAGTAGCATTCTGTTAAAATGAAGTCACGGGAGTGACGGAAGCCTCCGTCGCGCCCGTACGCGATGTTGTCGCGGAAGCTCGCCGCGAACAGGAACGACTCCTATGGCACCCCGCCACCACGTGCAGCGCCCACAAGTTGTGCTTGCGCACGTCCTTGCCAGATAGGACTACAGGAGCACGCGCGGGGACATGGGCTTGTAGAACCACTGCACTAGCGCTAGCTGGTTCCAGCGCCAGAAGCAGCGCATCGCCTTCGCCACCGCCGGACCATGGCCCTGTCGGCGGCTTGGACGAGACCGACGAGACGCTGAGGATGACGCAGTTGCTGAGGGTGGAGCCGAAGTCGGCCTTAGCACGAGCGGTGGACTGATGGGAGACGTCCACGACGGGGGCGGGCAGTGGCTCGGAGCGCCAGGAGACGCCCGCCGCAGCGGGGGACAGGATCTGGCCGAGCGCGTGGCGATGCCGCCGACCAGGACGCACGCGATGTGCACGAACGCTCCGCGCCCGCAGCAAGTGCCGGTGCGGCGGGGAGCCCGGTACAGCGGAGGAGGAGAAGGATGACGGGTCGTCTGGATGACGCAGTCGACGCGGACAAAGACGGAGTCGACGAGCGCGTGGAAGCGGTGCGAGACGAGGGCGCAGCTGCCGAGCGCCTTGATGTCGCCGATGGCGGTTGAGGACGCCCCGCTGCAAGGCCCCTCCTCCTCCTCCTCCTCCTCCATCCCACGTAGATTACAGGCACATAGATCGGGATCGAGGAGAGGCGTCGGCGCGGGACAGGACCGGGCGGGGCGAGAGCCGGGACCACGTGGTGCCGTAGGAGCCGTTTCTGTTCGCGGTGAGCGTCCACGAGAACAACCCGTAAGGGCATGACGGCGTGACGAAAGCTAGTTTCAGTTCCGTCACTTCTGTCGCTTTATTTTAATGGAATGCTATTTTTAGTTCACGGTTTAATCTTTTGATGGTATTTTACAAAGATGTAAACTTTCAATGATATTTTACAGGGATCATGATCTTTCCATACAACACAACCAACACAACCAATTTTCCCTATCAACTATGGCCATATCCTTATGCCCATATGCCATACAACATGAAGTAGCGACAGTGAGACAGCCCACGTACCATTCGAAAGGATGAGGTCCAAATTGCCACCGATCACTGATAATACTCAAGCGAAGTAAATCAGAAAATGCCTAGTTATATTTCCCAGAGAACGTACATACGTCGCTTTCGAAATTCGAAATCTTTGAAGAAATGGAAACTCTACAACTCCTTGTGGGGAAAAGAACAGTATCAATTCAATGATGGAATCGAATCGAAATACCTATTTCTAGTTACTGCCATTATATTGTCATGTTACACTGGCATGTTCGTTTGAATTTATCAGTCGATTTATCAGCTAAAATTTATAATATTTTTTTAAAACGATAAATCAGCTAAGTACCAGCCGAACAGGCCTCGTCGAATCGAACCGAGCCAAATCAATTAAAAAGTGAAATTCGCATTCCTCTGAAATCACGAATTCACTGTCCTGCAGTTGAGCCTGATCTCCCCCGCGGAACCCGTGAGCGGGCTGATGTTCCCGAGCCTGACCATGGACGCGGCGAAGTCAGACGAGAAGGCGGCGGCGTTGGTGCCGTAGAGCCTTACCAGCGAGTCGAGTGCCCCGTTGTTGAAGAGCTCCTGGTCCGAGTGCAGCAGGCCGGCGCCGGTCATCAGGCTCCGGTAGTACCCGTTGTCGAACTCGTCCGGGGTGAGCGAGTCGAGCGGCGCGAGCGCGTCGTCGCCGGCCCCCGAGGCGGCCGGGACCGGGCAGACCTGCCGCTGCTGCGCCGCGAACGCCGGGCTGACGTTGTCGTCGCAGTAGACGCGGGTCCGGAAGTTCGCGCACCGCGCCATCCCCACCGTGTGCGCGCCCGACAGCGCCGCGAGGTCGCGGGAGGTCAGGCCCTTGGCGGCGAAGCCCGCCACCAGGCCGTCCAGGTCGGAGTCCGGGCCCGGGAGGTCCGTCCCCGCGCCCGTGCTGTTCGGGAACGGCGCGTCCCGCCGGCCCAGCGGCACGGCCCAGCTCGGGCCGCCCAGCTGCACACGCCGTCGTTTAGTCTAGTTCTCGGGGCGGCACGCCGCAGAGCAGAGAGAGAATAATCGATGGGAAAGGCAGAGAGAGAGAGCACGGGACGAACAGACCAGGTTGACGGCGTCGCGCGCGGCGAGGGCGAGGATGTCGGCGCAGGAGACGGTGCCGGGGCAGGCGGCCTCGACCTGCGTCTTGATGGCGTCGATGAGGTCGAACCCGACGGTGGAGCCGCCGGCGTTGGCGCCGGCGCCCTTCTCGCCGGGCGTGGTGGGCGTGTCGTCCAGCAGCAGCGAGGCGTCGCAGCCCTGGGAAGGAACGATCGAATTAGAGTATTAAATGAACGCATGTGCAGCAGCGAGACGCGTGTGTATAAGCATAGCATGCATGCCTAGCGGTTGCGGGTTGCCGGTCGCTCTAGCTCTCACTCACATTGACGAAGCAGTCGTGGTAGAAGAGGCGGAGCATGGCGGCGCCGCTGCGCGAGTTGTTCATGACGGCCTGCGACATGGCCTGGCGCACGACGCCCTCCACGGTGGGGCAGGTCGACGAGTAGAACCCCGCCGAGAGCTGCGCTCCCGCGCCGCCCGCGAGCGCGGCGGCGACGAGCAGAACGAGCGCCGGCAGGAGCTGCAGCCGTCTCGCCATCACAGCCTACAGCAGTGACCTCTCGGAGGGGATAAAAGATGATGAGACGAAGCTACAGCCTGTCGTCAGACTAAACAGCTAGTACTAGCCGGCGGACTGCGGCAGTGCCTGAGTGGGGGCGCTGGCGCACTGCCACCGACTAGTACGTCCATAGTGGCGGTAAACGTGCGAATGATGGTGGCCGTGCGTTGCGTCCGGCGCGCGTGGGCCGGGACGGGCGGAATCTAGCGCGAACCGGCCAGCCGTCCACTCCATTCCCTCGGCGCCACGCTGGGTTGAGTCCAGGGTCCGCGTCTGGCTTGGGGCTTGGGGTAGCGGTGGCCGAACCTCGTTGCAAGCGCACACTGCACAGATGCCACGCTGCCGTCGGTGAAACGCATCCGATGCTCGATGTCCAGGTACCCAACAGCTCCACAGGGAAACTGTTCAGGTTGAGTTTCTGGGCGGGCACTGAGGCGAGCGGTGGGTGCGGTGCCGCGCCTGGTGATGGTGGGGTTGGGTGGCGCCACGTCGCGTCGCACTGCCTGGAAAAAACTGTGCAGCAAATAATGCAGTTGCGAGTTGCGACCAGCCGACCACACGGGAGGCATCGATGGATTATTATGGGTTTGGGCTCGTGTCCAGCATATAAAATCCCTCAAGGCCTCAACGGACGGGCACATTGAGGCCCAGTCCAGTCGGGAAGGGTGATCATTTTCGGTTGCTGTGTGCCTGTGTGCTCCGAAAGCCCACGGCGCTGGCGCCTGCAGAGTGCAGATGCATCTTGGGGTGGGAGTGGGACAACCACAGCACGGGCAGTTGGCCATCATAAGCTTGAAATTATTTGAATCCCCATGGACTCATTTTGATGCGTAGGCGCCTAGCTTAATTTTTCGAGCTAAAACAAAGTTTCTAGAAGTTTTCAAATATTTAAATCAGATTTTATGATCTTCATTTGCATTACTTTTCCATGTAACAAGTATTTGGATAATTTTGTAAAAATATTTTTGATTCACTTTTGGATAACTTTTTTAATAAGATATTTTTGGTCTGTTTTATCTGCTGAACTTTTAACATAGTTCAATTTACACCCACCGTGGCTGACATGGCGTCTCGTGGGGCAGCTGGCGTGGCGCCATGTTAGAAAAAACTGCCATTCAAACTACTCAGGGTGAAAAAAAAACGAACTGTTCTAAAAGTTGAGGGGGTTAAAAAAATCAATTTAATATATGAAAGACAGAAATCCAATGTCGAAGGGGTCTCGAGGACTTTTTCCAACTGAAAAACCAAACCAAAGCTTCCGCTGAGCAAAACAGTCGCCACAATCACCTCGATCTGTCTGACCAATGCGAATATGTGATAGATGTTCGGCAACCAACTGCTACACAAGGGCAGCAACGCAAAATCACATCATCGTAACGAGAACCTCCGCTAATCACATTTTGCCGCTTCTCTGATTCCAACGACGACCGGCCGGGTGCGTCGTCGGTGCGTGTGAGTTGTGAATTTGTGATAGGGTACGGATGCCACATTTTGGTCATGACCGAGAGAGATCTCACGTCAACCGTCGAATGCAGGAAGCAGCTGTGCCATTTATGGTGCATGGTGCTACTACTAGTTAGCTAGTGGAACGTACGTAGTTGCACGGTTGCACCTGCCCAATTCTGTTGTTGATTATTACGCGCATGATCGATGTGCAACTATATTTGTGCTATATAGGATTTTTTTTTATTTCTAACATTTTTTAAACTATTTTCAAATCTGACACGGCTTAATTTTTATTTATAAATCTAACGCTTTTGGCTGCGCCTATTGCCATGGCGCGGCCAAACAACGCTGACGCGCCATGCATGGCGTACGCAAAAAGTCACGACGATAAGCGTGACGGCCATTCTTGACCGGTGACGTGGCGAGCACTACTGCCGTAGAGATCCCTCAGCGGCGGCAACATGACTACATGACGCTTCATGCGAGCCTCCTCCTCTCTCTACCTTACTTCGAACAGAAGTGGAGGGCGACCGCGCCGCCCCCTCCCGCCTCTCCCAAGGGCTGCCGTCGCCCGGCCTTGCCTACCCACCTCCCTCCCCCCTCCCTTCCCCAAGCTTCTCCTCGGCCTCGGTCACGGTAATTATGCTCTTATTTGTCGTTTGAATGGTGGATTAAAAGATTATGAATGGTAGTTAGGGTTTGGAGGAAAAATATATTTGGGGACTATGGGCTAGGGTTTGAAGAAAGATATTAGTTCGATTTTGTCAATGTTAAGGTTAATTAGTTAGTTAGAAGTATGTTTACCATATTTAGTGTAAGGTTTATGTTTGTTCCTATAAGTGTTGGTTATATTATTTTAGTTGTAATACAAATGGTTCTCCTTTACATTAATTTGTGATGTTTTAATTGATGTTAAAGTACAACTGTTTTATTAGATACAAGACATGTATCGGGAGCAGTTGTGGCGAAAATGAGGTTATCTTAGAGAATTATACACCGACGCGTCTAACAAAGATGCCCTCGTCCCTCCTAACCTTCATGTCCCTAACTGTGACTGTGGTTTCCCGGCCGACGTGTTTCAATCGAGACATCCGGACACAGCGGCGCGTTGCTTCTACAGATGTAGTCGTTTTAATGTAAGTGATTCTTTTCGTACCTTTTTTTTCTTTATTTGTGTTAGTAGGTTACTAATATTTTATTGGAATCTTGTTGTGTAGGCCCATGAGATGTGCTTTTTTCAGTGGATCGACGGTCCAGACAAGTTTAACCTAAGGTATCTCCTTTTTGACGATTAGTGGAGAGGGAGACATCAACGTGAGCACTTCGAGCGGTGGGTTCCACCTCCCCCTAACCCCCACCAATGAAGGCTAAGGAGAAGCATTTAGCTGCAGTTAGACGTCTCGAGGAGCCTCTTTTGTGCGATTGCGGAGATCGAGCCGTGATAAACCCTGAGAATACGTTGGAGTTTGTGTGTCCAAACAAGCATGAAGTAAGTGGAAAGTGTATCTATTGAAATATTGAGCTATAGGTGTTCATGTGCTAATGTCACCTCTTTTAGGTGTTTGCATTTGCGAAGTGTCGTTTCAAGAAGTGGCTATATGGTCCTAAGAATCAATGGCGAGAAGCAAAAGGCAAAGGAAAAGAAGAAAGAAAGGATAATCACCGAAGCACCTCCTATCATGTGCGAATGTGGTGTTAAAGGCAACTACGGCCTAGTCCATTCAGAGCTTGGAATAGGCTATTGGTGTGGAAACATAGTTGACTATGATGTGGTTGAATTCTGTTGTGGGAATCATAAAATCGTATTTGTTATCTTCTGTAAAGACTTATGATCTAATTTTTCGTTTGAACAGAGCACTAGGAAATGCAAGTGGGAATCTTATGATGGTCAAGCTAAGTTCTTGGATGAATCAAGAGGAGGCAAGTAATTGCACGGAAGAGGGATATGGACCTCGATGACGTCGACCTCTTCGTTAAAACAAAGGAAGAAGGACATGCGTGAGTTTGCTAGACAAATAGCGGTGTTCAGAATCTGATCGGTGTTAGGCTTGACAAATGGGGGTTGGAGAGACGGAGGGCGTTAAAGGAGGAGAGGGCAAGAAAGGAGGCAAAGGAGAAGACAAGAGTACAGATGCAGGTCTTGAACGATTATGTTGTTGCATTATGTGTTAGTGAGTGATTGAAAGCCTTGTTATTTTCGTTGCCTGCTTTTAAATGTAATATAATCGCGTTGCTAACTGGTTGCATTTTATACATGAAGAGATTGGATGTAGCGAAGACCATGCCGCAAAGGTGTCCCATGCAAGGTTTCAAGAGAAAAAGTTACATGAGCACATAACGTGAGTTGGTCGCAACGTTGAATCATAGGGGGTATCATCCTCTAGCAAATCTTGACTAGTCTATCCTGAGCCAGCATAGCATGAAGTACCTCAGTTGGTTCTGGTAATGGCATATCATGAACCGGTACTGGAGTGGCATCAACCGATGTTGACATAGCATCTCAACCTTCTTGGTCATCATCCGAATCGTCTAAATCACTGCTAACTACATCACTGATCCTGTCCTCCTCCTGTTCCTCCTCTTCCCGTTCGAACACGTTCACATCGAAGTCATTGCTTATACAGCCTACTAGAGTTGAATGAAACTGCTCCTACGTCACGTGACCGTCCAAATCCATGTTACCCTGAGTTGCTTCCCCTTCGACCTCCAATTCTTGTTCATTGCCTCCAACACCGTTAATGGATGGCCCGTCCTGGACACCCTGCATCCTATACCCATTCTCCACCACCACCTCAACCATAGGCACATTGGAACCATGGATCACCCTTTTGTAGCGGGACCAGTGAGTACGGTCGCACAAGGGCATCAGGACATAGTGTGCCCTAGTCTTCCC